AAAAAAGCAGCAAAAACACGAATCCATCTCTAATGCATAACTATATAAATATTACTGTTGTTATTAAGTTATTCTGTTATAGAATTAAAAACATATAAGATTATGTAAGTTAAAGTATATATTTGTTAAGGAAGACATGAAGTAAAACAATTTAATTTTTAATTTAGGTTATTAAAAAAATAAACAGAAAAAAAAATTAAATTTAAATTAAAAAGAAATTTACAGTTAAAGTATACGTGATTTTATAACTAAACTGATATGTATTTTTTAATTCTAATTAAGTTAAAAGTATAGTTAACTATTGATATATATCAATGATATACTTAAATAAAAATTGATTTATGAAAATAAATACTTTACTTTTGTTATTTGTATCATTTATTTTATTCTTTTGAATTTATTCTCTTTAAGATCTTAATTGCTTTTATGCTTAGACAGTGTGACTGAATCTTAATTAAACTTAATGTTTCCCGATCTTGTTTATTAAAATATAAAGATATTATATAATATAACGACTTATTTAAAATTCTTATATAATATACTTGTATGATTATTATTTTATTGAGTTATTTATTAATTATATTTATTATAATAAATAGACATGGTTCCTTATTTTTATATTGTTTGGGTTGATTTCTTTGATTCATATTAACCTTTTAAAGACTTAATTTATTTAATTGGTTGGATTTTTTATTCCATTACCTATTAATTTCAGATGAATAATTTTATTTTATTTTTAAGAGTATAATACTATTATAATATGTGTTATGTAACCAAAGTATAGTGTTAGTCATCTCAATTTATTCCTAATTTAATAGCAAAATAGATGAATGGATTTATTATATTATAATATTTCTAAATAATAACATTAAGTATAGATATAGTATACTCAATGATAATAGGTATAAAACCTTTTATAAAATAATTACGAATTAATTATTTATTTTGTAAAAGTATATATATAATTTATTAAACACGATAAAAATAAAATGAAATTTGTTAGATTAAATGTATATTAAATACCTATATATAGCATATTATCATAAAGGAAAATATTTTAAAACTAATTTAGAATATATTTTTAAAATATAACTAAAAAATATAGTTTTGACAAAAAAATTCATAAAACGTCATTAAAACATTTTAATGTTATATAATTATATTTTCTGAAAATATTTTAACTATAAATTATAAATTATGAGTGAAAATATTTTAAAANTGTTATGGTTTTTACGCACAACACCAAATAAACGTACGCACCAATTTAATATTAAAATAATGAATGTATTTTATTAAATTGTTAGTAAAAAAACGATTTAAGTATAGCTGTATATTGTGAAACAAACACTGGTTATATTACGACTAATTGTAAAATAAATGTAAAATGCTCTTGCTAAACATACGTTATGTATAATGCTCGGTTCTAACTACGACTGACTGACCCCCTGTGTGTCGTCGAGACGGTGCCCCGTGTCACATCAAAAACCCTTATTCAGCGGTTCCCACGGTAGCAGCGTCGTACGACACACACTCTGCATTTTGATTATAAAGAAATACTTCTATATGTTTATTAACATATAGATGTATCGAAATAAACTGTATAATAGCCATGGGTTCTTAACAATTTGTTAGTGCACTAAAGCCATGCTCACATAACCAAGACGTAGAAAACTGAAGGAGCACTTTAATAGCCTTTTTCGATAATCGAGGGTATTCATTGTTAAGAGCCACCCAAAAGCTGTCTAGCGTGACCTCATTAAACTTAACTAGAAGCGTTCGGTCGTTCTTCAATTCCACTGCTTCCTGTTGTACCTCACAGTCATCTGTTTGTATCATGGAAGTAAAAGGGTTCCGAATCCAGTCGTAGTGTTCAACGTTTAAGTCTGGAAAATAATGTTTCATAGACATTTGTAAAGTCTGTAAGTGACTTCGTATGATTTTTAGAACGGTAGGACTGGAGTTTTCCTGGCCCGTAAACAGTGGAAACATAGTTGTATTCCCTTTATCCAAGTTTGCACACCACACTGACATTTTTTCTTGAAAGGCTGAAATTTTGTCGGTGGAAGTTAAAATATTTTCTGATGGTCCTTGAAAACTAGAATTAACCTGGTTAAGATATTGAAAAATATCAGCCAAGTATGCGAATTTTGATATCCAGTCGTGGTCTTCCAAATAACATGTAAATTCATTGTTCTCCTCTTCCATGAAAAATAGCAAAAGTTCCTCTTTCAATTCATAGAGACGTAACAGAACCTTTCCTCTGGATAACCACCTCACTTCGGTATGGTACAACAAATTTGTGAAATCAGCATCCATTGATTCACAAATTTCGGCAAAAATTCTACTTTTTAGGGGCTTTCCTTTAATGTAGTTGGCCATACGAACGGAATTGAGTTCACTACCCAATGTTTTTGTCATCAGCACTTCTCTGTGGATGAAACAGTGGGTCTTAACGATTAATAGATTTTTTATTTTAGCCAGTGTAATAAATCCCTTGATACTCCCAGTCATACTTGGAGCTCCGTCTGTGCAAATTCCAACACAGTCACTCCACGATATTCCATTATTTTCAAAAAAATAATCAATTGTGTTGAAAATGTCTTTACCTCTAGTATTTTTTTTAAACTCTTTCAGACACAAAAACTGGCTTACAATAGCATTATCGTCGACAAAACGAACGAATCCTATCATGTAGCATTTTCCGTCGCTACTAGTTGAGTCATCGACTTGAAGCGTGAACCGAGAGTTTTTTTATCTTTTCTATAACGAGCTCTTTAATATCTGTCGACATACAACAGATGCGACGAGAAACAGTATCATTTGACATAGGTATCTTATCGATTTCAAGAGCCGCTTCATTTCCAATCATTATTCGCACCATTTCCTTACAAGCAGGTTTAATTAGTTTTTCTCCAATAGTATGCCCTTTCATGTTGTTGGCGATCATTTGTGAAACAACAAAACTTGCTTCGAGAGCCCTCTCGGACACTTTGATCTTTTTTGTAAATTTGGTTGCTTCTTTTTTTTGATCACTGAGAAGTTTTCTGAAATAATGAACGTCTTTATTCTTCAAGTGAGAATGTTGTTTAATAAAATGGCGTTTCAATTTGCTGGGCACCATCGATTCGTTGGTCAACATTATCCCACATACAATACACTCGGGAATAGGTTCATCTTTTGGACCACACCATGTAAAACCTATATCCATATATGATTCATTGTAATACCGACACTTACCTCCACTCTGTTTTAACGTCTCAGAAGTTGATGGTAATGTAGTGTCACTGATTTCCGTATTCTCATCATTGTCATATTTTCTTTTCCGATTAATAAATCTATCCATGCTACAGTAAAAATATTATTATTATTATTATTATTATTATTATATTATATTATGCATACTATAATTTGCTAATAATAATGCTCATATTTTTTTAAAATTTAGTTCTTACTTGTAGACTTGTAGGTAATTGTACTTGTCAGCTAACGAATACGAAAAAATACTAACGTTAAAATGTTATTATTAATAAGTAATAACAAAATGTAAAATACACAACGAGCGATAACATTACACAGCGACTGTAGAATACTGACTGATGGCCGGTTAATATTGAGTCGTTAAGACGTATGTAGCGGTATCGCAGCGTTATCGCACGACAAATTACTTATTAGTTATTACTAGATACACGTGTTTATCGGACCAAAAGATTAAATATAAATAATACAAACTATTTTAAAGATACGAACTTTGAGGTATGTTATGTACATGACAGTGGTGGTATAGGTGTATAATATATGTATTATAAGAAATAATATGATTGTTTTCGAAATTTTATTATTATTATTATTATAATTTTACTATTATCGAAAAATTTATTTTTTAAATTTTTTCTTTTCTTGTTAAAATTCTGCGTCACCCCTAAGCTAGGTCCACGTCACCCTAAGGTGACATGTCACCCCGGTTGAGTACTACTGCTATAGAGCAACATTATGCATTTGTAACTAAGAAAAATAAAAACTTTTTTTTTTCATTTATTATATTTAAAATGTGTTAACATATTACATGTTTTTACAAGTTTATTAATACAATTTTGAAATTTTGAAAACTTTAATTTTTCTAAAATGTTGTCATATTATAATAGATATACCTAAAATTTGTCAAATTTATACACATTTAAATTATTACATAGTTAAATTACTCAATATTATTAGGTAGTATGATATTTTTTAAAGCAAGTTTTTCCCTTTCCAGTACATAATCCAACTTGACATTTTTCACACTCTTGCCATGTATATCCCTTGCAACCTGGCATTTTACAACGACTCCTCGTTGGTGCATCGATCGGCCAGTGATCAATGCGATCCATGCGTATATCTTGATTTGGTGGTTTCGAAGCATTCGGCTTCTTGGATTTTTGTATTAGTGCATTCTCTATGGTATTTGATGGCCTTCCTCTAGTGAAAGTTGACTGACCAACTTTGCACAAAGATATTGCTAAATCTTCTTTAAACGCAGCTAATGTCATAGGTTTTTCAACGTTGCCTCTAGTTTTATTTTTTTGAGCAATTATTCGCTTATGTAACAGCCATGAATTGACAACAGTCACATCAAGTAAATGATAGAAAATACCATTTACGACTTCTTATTTTAATTTTCTGTCGTCCTAACAAGCTATCCAATAGGTCTACTCCTCCCATGTGTTCAGTGGCGCCGAACCACATTTTGAATGGTCTGGTCAACAACCACCCTATTAAAATTTTACCACCCACCCCACCCAATATTAGTAATCCTTTATAAGTCACAACCACTAATTATTTTACAAAAATTACTTTTTTTAATATAAATTATTTAATTTTGTCATTCTGTGTCACAACTTGTATGCAATTTATTTTATCACTCTATATTACTCTATTTGTATATACATAAAATATAAATACTATTATTTTTTTTTTCCATTAGTATCATATTGACTTTAAAAATATTTATACTTCAAATGAGCAGTAAAACTATACTTAATATTATATAATATATTAAATGATTTCACTTGTCATGACTCATAGTAAATAAAACTATACAAAAATATATATTATTAGTATTTATTATATTACTTAAAGGACACAATACTCAGTTATAAATATTTCCATCACTAAATTTATTTTATATAAAAAGTCATAGAAATTAATACCTACCGATACATTAATGATTTAGTTAAAATGGATGATCTTCTTGCAAAATTGTTAATGACATTTTCAGTGTTAATAACAACATCAGTCTCACAGGAAATCAACATAAGGTCTTCAAGTCGATTTTGTGACATAGTTGATCTAAGTCTGGTTTTGACGATTTGTTAGGAAACAGAAGATTGAGGTGATTGGAAAGGATATTATCGACCACATTTGTTTAAGCTGGTGAGAAGACAGATCAGTGAATTGACCATCAATGTGAACAAGAGGAGTGAATAGGAGGGATTCATAAGACTGCTCGTAGATTTGAGGTTTGTTTGATTTAATAATATATTGATGAAAATTGGAAAGAGAGTTAGCTGCGATTGAGAGAACCAGCATTGATTTTGGTGTATATCTCCAATTTAAGGAAAGAGAATAGTAAGTATTGAATATAAATTGATTGGATTGGGCTAGTGATTTGAGGATAAATTTTCCAGCCAGCCATCGGCATCTGATGTTAAAAAGGGGGCAAGTGGACTCAACTTCAATAGCTGGTCCAGGGGTGGATCTAACGTAACCCATAATTGTTCTAAGACATGCAATTTGAAGCTTATTAGTTTATTTTATTCCAATTGGTGAAAGAGGCCGAACCGAAAAGGAAACAGCTGTAATCCAGTTTGGAGCGAATTATTGACCTATATATGGATAATAGACATTTGGGATGAAAACCCTACCACGTGTTAGAAACAGACTTGAGAAAATTAGACCAACGGGAGGTAAAGGCAGAAAGAGATAATAGATGAGGTTGCCAACGAAGTTTAGGATCCAGGGTGAGGCCGAGGTAGGTGACATTAGGGGCAAAGGGAATGGTGTATTCGTCTAAAAAAGTGTTTGTATGGTCGGCGTATCTTCGCCTGGTAAAGATGACGGACTTGCATTTTTCAGGGGTGATTTCAAGTGATGGATTGGTTAAAATATTTTTAAGGTCTTTAAGGGCTAAGTTTATTCAAAACTTATAACTTATAAGATAATAGAATTTTTGTAAAAGGTAGTAAGTATGTATTTATTTGTTCACAGCTCTTCCACGGTACCTAACTAAAATGTTTCAAGCGGGAATGTCTCCTTTAAAGCACTCCGATTTACCGCGTGATACAATACGGTGATTACACACTCATTGTCCACCAAATTTCCGCTTACATAAAAATATTTACGGTGTACACACCAAATTAATTTTACCTTATATAGTTATTATAAAGCAGAAATATTTATTTCAAGAAAAGCACACAAAATAATTGAATAAATTTTTATAATTGTTATAATTCATTTTTCATCTCAATCATCTAAATTAATGAATTATAAGCTTTTAAAAATGTTATAAATAATGGACATAAGGCATTCTGAACATTGATCCATTTTGAAAATTGTTGACTAAATGTGCATTTTTGAATGGCTTTTAGCCATAGCTATATTGTTAAAAGTTACCCAACTTCGTAAATTTTTTCTACATATATAATATACAAATGACATGTCTCGACGCCTCTAAGGCTAAACAAGAATGGGAAAAGTAGTTGTTGCCGTCCGTTTGCGGATGAGATGACTGATTAATCATTCTCACCCGACAAACATAGGATAAATATACTCGGGTAAATGTATAGTTTATCGCAAGGAAATTTGAGAAAGGTGAATATTTTCAGAAGTACTTTTCTAGAATCCAGTTATTTCCAGTTACAAAATACTAGTGATGGCATAAAATAACAGTAGCAGTGATTTTTCACTGGTGATCACAAAGTAGCAATCACAGTCTGCTACTCCAGTATGAAAATAACAGTGACTGCTACTTTTTAATTTTTAGTAGTTGGTCACATTGGAAAACTGCTACTGCTACTTTCTGTAAAAATATGTTATAGCGTTATAGGTATTATAGATATTAACTTCTGTTTCATAATATAGTAGTTGCTAGTTGGTCACAGTTTTGAAATCACCAGTGCAAAATCACTGATATAGTGCTACTGTTATGTTATACCATCTCAAGATATTGCTACTTTTTGAAACTGCTACTCACTGCTACTTAATTAACTGCTACTTTTGCATAGATATTAGATAATATTATAAAAGTTCATGACACTTCACTCTTATCAGAATTAATTATCTAGTTATCATTTTATCAACATTTATTTTATTATAATATCAGAAATTGATTGCTTTTGAATGCTAACCGCGGACTAGCCTTAATGTAATGACTAACCTTATGCAAACTTATTCTCATAATCACATGAACGTTGAACATTCTACCAATGATAAAGTAAATTTACTTTATCACGATTCTACCTAGTACCTACTTATCTATGTTTATGTTTATACAACCATGATAAAAATATTAAAAATAATTAATAAAACAATATTGTAGTTGCTAATTTGTCATGAGTACAACTGTTACTTGTGATTTGAAGACTTGAAGAATAGCTACTGCAGCCCATGTTAGTATTTTACTATTTTATTTTTGTTTTAATAAAATTGTCATAGTATGAACATTGTCAATTATACAATTTAAGTATTGTACTAGTGATTTTAACTGTTACATAAAGGTTACAACAATAAACTGTTCTTCAGAAACATGAGTTACATATTTATAATTATGAAAATTAACACTGATACCTGCATTTAAAATATAATAATGGAAAATAAAAATGTTTTTTTTAAATAGTGCAATAAATGTTAAAAATTAAATAACAGCTATTTAATTTTTATTACTATGTTGTAACTATGAGTATTTTAAGTTTTTTTTTAACATTTATTGCACTATTTAAAAAAAACATTTTTATTTTCCATTATTATATTATTATATTATTATACTATTATATTATTATATTATTGTCTGTAAGTTAATTTGATAAATGAATTATGCATTTTGATTTAAAAACAACAAAATTTCTGCTTTTTTTGTGTTTAAGCAACAACGGCGATCAGATATTAAAAGGCCTGCTTTAGAAAATACCCGCTCGCATGGAACAGACGATCCTAGACAACATAACGTCTTCCTGGCCAAAACATTTAAAAATGGGTAATTATACTTGTGATCTTGCCACCATTTTAGTGGATCACAGTTTCTTTTTAATACTGGTTCTTCTAAATAACGTTGCACCTCTACTATAGCCCTTGAAGTTGATGTTCCAGTTG